AAATATAATCACTTCCGAATCGCAATGCGTCCTCATTGAATATTCATGGAGTATAGTGCTGCGAAGGGCTTCGTGGTTGTATATTTCGCCGTTGTGCACTACCTGAAATTTGTGAAAAAAATTTAGTTATCTATATATCTGGACAAAACACAAGAGTATGTTAACGAGAAAACCCGTGTACTGTTCGTGACCAGTTTTTCTAGAATTTTAGAAGTAGTGTTCTCGAAAGTTTTCGAATCAGAAGTAGTTTGGAGAGGCCGGAATAGCGCTGAATGCGTAAATATGCATCCACGAAACGTAACAAACCAAACTCCTTATTTAGTGATAATAAACGCCAGTAGGGTTTAAATGACGATAAGCAAATTTTATGCACAAATCGGACAAATAGAAGCCCGTCGTTCGGCTGGAATCAGTTCAGGCATAACGACAAAACACACTACTAGCAGTAAATCCTTTACAAGGACTATTTCATGGCCAGATAAACAAAGTGTGATTCTAAAACAATTTTATTCGCTTTCTTTCGCATTTGTGCAAGTAAGAAGTCACATATCGACAAAATCACTCGTATGCATTTGTTGTTCAACTGTCATGCACTTTTCGTCTCACGACATAACAAATTATAAGAAAAACTGTAATTCTGAAAATCTCACGACTCTAAAACGATTCATAACCCTAACAGTGAAAAAGAAAAAAACTGCATTGGCTCGAAGTCCCTCTGCCGGCCATCAACACAATGCGGTGACTGCGTAAATAAAAACAACTGGCACAATGATGGAAATGGTAAAGGGCGAGGTGCAGGGTTGCCAACCAGATGTGTTCATCATTCTAAAACGCAAAGCATGAGAGCGGGTGCACCATCGCGACTATTCTGCATATGGCCATAATTCCGGGATCCCTGTCCTTATGATAATCTTCATGAATTTTCAATAAGTGGTGGTTATACTTGATGGTCTTCTTGAAGACCTTTCATGGGATGTTTGCAGCTGAAATCAACGATTGACAAACGTTCATGGCACAATATATCTCCTGTTCTCGGATTTTCGTAAAACCCACGATCATCAGGGCCGCGATGTTTCTGGCGTCTGAAATTGAAATTCAGATGTTTAAAAAAACGGGTAACCAATGACAGTTGTGACACAGATATGAGGAGTGAAACATGCTGCAAATTTCGATTTCAGCTTGTAGTTTAAATGCAAGTAGCAATGAAGACTGCAAACGTTTCAAGTAGTATAATCATGTACGTACTTAATAAAATGAAATCTTTCACAGAGTTCAAAGCACCTCCATCAAATTAGCACATTATTCAGCACATCTTGTACCAAAAGCATATTATGTTGTGCACGTCGATTTTTTGCAGCCCGACACAGCTGCTTTGTCGAAGCGAATAATACAAGGTTTTGAGTGCCGGCTGATGTGCACTTAGGATGTGGACCTAGACGCGAGCCATGCCACAACATTTCAGCTTTCCTGCTTGCATAAATCTGATTTCTAAATATGAGCGATCCAACAATTTTGAAAGCTGA